AAAAAATCACAACTGTGGATCACCTTGCCAAATCTCTACACCCCAGGTGCGTGTACAGTGTTCCTACGGGGCAAAGAGGCTAAAAGGGATGCAGGGATGACTCCCTTTCCCCAAAGCAGGTTCCATCTCCCCCTCTGGATACGATTCCCTCCACTGAGAATGTGCGTGTAGACCAGCAAGGGCGTTTCAATGGCTACAGAGCCTCACTTTGGCACAATCAGAGAACTGAAGTTCATTAACTCATTTTATTATCTTATTCTTCTTTTCCATGTCACAAATTTTAGACAGCAGACCCCACAAGGTAAATTTCCTTTTTTGTCATGTTCCTGCCTAAGAAGTGCCAGTTAGCTGCTCCTGGAAAGAAGCAATATAAAAATGTGGGTTTGATTATTTGAATCTGTCTTTGCCCAGAAGTAGCTATTCATGAATATATTGGTGTAAATACCATAGTGTCGATCTATTAAACTGAAGGGGGACCAAAGATGACACCACCTGAGGTCTGCGGAAAAGAATAGAACTTGTTGTTTATCACAGAAACAGTAACAACCCGAATCAGACCAATAAAACAAGCTCAGCATGAGAGAGGAGCAGAGAAACACAAGGGCTCTAAAAAAGCAAGAGCCCTTAATACCAAAATGAACTTGAAACGAATCAAAGATTTCAATGGAAACACTGCAGCCTTGGAAGCACTATAGATTTTACCCAGGCATTGAGTAATCATCTTCCCAACCATGACGTGAAACCCCAAAGGACGAGACTGACAAGCTTGATGTAAATGTAAGCTGCCAGACAGACCAACTGAAACAGAGCACAAAGTTCAGAAACAGACCCAGATACAAAGTGAATTTCACAGCTACAAGCTTATAAAGGCAGTGCCTTAAACCAGTTAGGTAGAAATGGGCTATGCTGGAAAAAAGATGTACTTGGAACCATACTGCATACTAATCCAAGACGAAGCTGTCAAGATAAAAATATAAAAAATAAGCCATAACAGTAACAGAAGAAAAAGAAAGAACTACGAGTAGCAGGTACACATTTTTTTCTTAAATTTAACCTTTCTCACACTAAGAGAAATGTAAGTTAAAACTACACTTGATGACCATTTCTTCTCAAACTGATGAATACCCAAAAGCTGGAAACATACTTTGTTGGCAAAACTGTGAGGAAACGGGCACGCTCTCATGGCTTGCTGGTGAGAGCATAAAATAGTAAAACTCCATTTGCATTTACCCTGTAACCCAGAAAACAATCCTCCTTGCGCTTGCGTGAAAGGTCATCTTTACAAGGTTTTTCACTACACCACTGTAATGGCAAACACAATACAACTGTCCTCCAATAAACCAAAGTGCTTATACACAATGGAATTACCATTCAGGCGTGCAAACGGGGTACTCTCTACACAGACATGGACTGCCTTTTAAGATATGCTATTTAGAGAAAAAAGTCAAGGTGTGGAATCATATAAATAGTATGCTGTCTTTTGTTTTTTGAAAAGGGGGCAATAAGAATATACACACTCATATTTGCTTGTACTTGTAATACTAAAATACAAGGATATATAAGAAAGTAAAAAATATGATTACTTATGAATGGAGCAGACAAAAGTGGGTGGCAGCATGATTTCTCAATACATAACTTTATATTATTTTGATCTTTGAACCCTAAAAATGTAGTAATCAAAAACATTAAATTATAAAATAAAACCCACTCACTTATAGATTAAAAAATTAAAATCGTTCACACACACCAAGTACTTTCTAGAAAACAAGTCCATTAAAGAATAAATCACAGGCCAGGCGCAGTGGCTCACACCTGTAATCCCAACACTTTGTGGGGGCCAAGGCAGGCAGATCACTTGAGGTCAGGAGTTCAAGACCAGCCTAACCAACACGGTGAAAGCCCGTCTCTACTAAAAATATAAAAATTAGCTGGGCGTGGTGGCAGGCGCCTGTAATCCCAGCTACTCGGGAGGCTGAGGGCCGGAGAACGCCTGAACCCAGGAGACAGAGGTTGCAGTGAGTCGAGATTGCACCACTGCACTCCAGTCTGGATAACAAAGCCAGACTCTGTCTCAAAACAAACAAAAAAGAATAAATGACATACTGAAAAAATATCGGAAATACATATCGCAAAGGATTATTTCCCAAGCTTTCTTTTCAGTCAGAAAAGATGACAACCCAAAGGCAAAATGAAGAAAGACAGGAACAAACTATTTGCAGAGGAAGAAATAGAAACAGCTAACAACACACAAAGAAAAGATGTCCACATGTGATTAAAGAAAGGCAAACAAAAACGATAAAATGCCATTTTCACCTGTCAGTCAGTCTCACATACTTTTGGTGAGTCTAAAAACTGGTGAAACCTTTTTGGTTGGCAATTTGGCAATAGTTATCAAAGCCTAAAGCAGCCATAGCCTCCGACCTAGCAATCACTGCACCTCACCCCACGGCCACCCTTGGACAAGTCCATCTTGGCGCTCGTTCAAGCATATTGCTTGCAGCACTGTTTTCAGTAACAAAAATGAACAATTCAAATGTGCATCAATGAGGGTCCTAATAAATAAACGATGGTACAGCCACATAATGCAGTACTACACAGGCATTAAAAAGAATAAAGTTTACCATGTAAGTGTGAATACAGAAGACCACCAAGATGTGCCATAAAGTTATTTAAAAAAAAAAAAAAAAGTGTATAAAAGTATATACAGCAGGACCCCTCCATGAGTAAAATGTGAGAGGGCCTGGAAATGGGACAGGGAGGAATACCTCGACTTCTTTTTGCATACTTTTTCTTTGTCATTTTATATACATTTTTGCTCTGTTTGAATTCTAACTATGACTTAAAAAAAAAAAGAATATAAAATATATTTTGGCAATCAATTGCTAAGCATTTACCAAAGAAAGTAGATTACTAGCCTGGCCAACATGGTGAAACCTTGTCTCTAGTAAAAATACAAAAATTAGTTGGTTGTTGTGGTGGGCACCTGCAATCCCAGCTACTCGGGAGGCTGAGGGGAGAATCGCTTGAACCCAGGAGGCAGAGGTTGCAGTGAGCCGAGATGGTGCCATTGCACTCCAGCCTGGGTGGCAGAGCAAAACCCTGTCTCAAAAAAAAAAAAAAAAAAAGTAGATTCTTTATCATGCCTACGTTGTTTTCCCAAGATTTCTGTGCCACAATAGGGGATGAGGGAAATGAAGACAATTCTAACAACATAAAACCAGCAGCAGCACCCCTGCACATGACCTCAAGCTGTATTTTCAAGCTCACGAGATGTGAGACATGGGCTGCAAATCAATTGGGCGCACATTTCTATAAGAGTCTTTATGTCCAGGATTCCATAAACAGCATGACCACCGCAGCACGGCCCTGGAGACACAATCACAGTTCTGGATTCACTGCTGACTTCACCTACCTAGCTGAAGTAGGTTTTTGCACCTCCGTTTCCCCATCTGTAGAAGAGTATGTGTGTGCACATTCGTGTGTGTGAATGGTAGGAGATGGCTATTAGATGATCCTAAAACTGTATGATTCTAACTTAAAAGGATTGCAATCTTTGCATAGGTATTTTGGAAAAAAAACTCATTGATAATTTGGAAAGTAGCAAACATGTTTAAGCTGTTCTTATGGTATCTATCCAGGGTCTCAATAAATATATGAAATATCAATTACACCACAGAAATAGCTTAGCTGAATTTCTATAGGCTGAAAAGGAAATCCATCAATAGTGTCTACTAACATCAAACCAACATCACATTGCTAAAGTAATTATATAAAATATAAAAATATTTTCAAGACCAGGCGCAGTGGCTTATGCCTATAATGCTAGCACTTTGGGAGGCTGAAGCAGGTGGACAGTTTGAGCTCAGGAGTTCAAGACCAGTCTGGGCAACTTGGTGAAACTCCATCTCTAAAAAAAAAAAATACAAAAAATTAGCTGGGAATGGTGGCATGTGCCTGTAGTCCCAACTACTCAGGAGGCTGAGGTGGGAGGATCGCTGGATCCCGGGAGGTCAAGGATGCAGTGAGCTGAGATAGTGCCACTGCACTCTAGCCAGGGCAAAAAAGTGAGACCCTGTCTCAAATATATATATAGGTATATATATGTAAGATCTCAGCCCTAATTTTTATTTTTAAACAGCACATGGGTATAAAATTCCCCATTAGCTATTTTAGTTTTGTCCCTCTGAGCCAACTGCTAATGTCACAATGACTCTGAAGATTTGCAGTGGTGCCATGACATGAACACTTAACATTCTGAAATATGTTGTGGTCCCAACTTTTGGGCAAGTGGGGTCATGAAGCTTGTGGAGATTCAACACTTCACGATATAACGGAGGATAGGAGCATGAGAGGTGGGCATACTGGATATCATGGCCATTGAAATGACCATGACAGCCATACACTGTCAAGAGTTTCTTTATATAGGTAAAGCTAACTTTAGACTATTCCCACCTAGTTCCAAAAATCCATAGTTGTTCATGTTCAAAAAGAATTCTACCAATGTCAAAGAGAAAACATATTATTATCAATTATCTTGTATAGTATATTAAGTGCCAGGAAAAGGTAGGCATTGACTTTTATTTTTCTGTATCCATATTTGTCAATAGATGATCTATGTCTATCCCCTTTTTGCTATTCCCTTTGGGTTGAGCAGAGGCTAAAGGAAAAGTAGGCCAAGTATATTTAATATTTTACATCAAACAAGTTATTTGCTTAAGATGCTTTGGCCAGCCCTGTGTCTGGCACTAGCGCCCAGCCTGACAGTTCCAGTAGGAATTAAACACCAGTTTTAATGGGTGCTGTGTTCCAATGCCTACTAATGCATTGACGGTTGTTGGCCAACTTCTTCACATAAAGGCAAAAGTGAGTGTGTGTGTGTGAACATGTGTGTGTGCCCACGTGTACGTATGGAGGGATTACAGGGGGGAGCCGGCCACAGCTGCTTAATTTTTGTAAAGCTTTTTTTTTCCTTAATAGGGAGGAGGGTTGTGGTTACTTACCATCCTCATAAGCTGCTACTGCCAGCGAGCTGTTTATCCTCACAAAGGAGACATTTGGCTGCATTCCAGGCTCGTCCTCCTCGTCCTCGGATTCCAGGAAGGGGGCTACGTAGTCCCAGGTGCGGGTGTCCCACACTCTCACGTCCCCTGATGTATATCTGGAAGAGAATGACACACTTGGTTCCAAAAAGGGATTGAAGAGCAGGGCTATGGTGGGGAAAATGCATAGAGCCTTACAACAACAGACAAGTAAGAATCGGGTGGTGTGGAGCCACTCCTGCGGCACTGTTTAGATGAGTGACTCCAACAGGAGAAAATGTCAACTAGATGACAGAAGGCTGTGAACACGCTTCACATTCTCACAGCACAATGGTGACAATCTCAAATGAGAAAACAATAATAAGACATGGGTAGCAAGATCTCCTTGGTTTTCCTTTTACACTATTACAACAATCTGCTCCTACAAGCTCTCCCACTGCAGGGATCACTCGCAGAAATTTGTATAAGCCACACTATTTACCCACAAACACACACACTCGCTCATACGAAAGACAGAGATGCTGCAGGGATACTCAGAACTAATGGTCTTACAGGCACAGGCTTTCTAATACCTCATCCATGCATCAGATTTGACTGATTAAAGTCCCTAAAGACTAATTGATTTGCTGAAACAATTAAATCTTGCCTTTAGCAGCCAGACAATGCTGCCTGCTCGTGAAAAGCTCTTGCTGAATGCACGACACTCCCTGGTTTTGCCCACTTAGAAAACAGAAGTACTCACTCTCTCCTATGACTAGTGCCACTCCAACAAATGACTCCTTCCATCAAAGCCAGGGCCAGGCTGAACCTACTCAGACACGAGGCCCCCAGGATGATAGAATGGCCAGATAATAAAGTGGGGTGCTGCCCGTCACCAAGGTATTTAAGCTATGTTGCCTATGTCTGCTGCGGAGGGTTTTATTCCACTTGCAAAGCAATTGAGTGTTATGGGGGAAAAAGGGGTGAGAAATGCCTTTAAGGGCCTCATGATAGAACCACACAATCACAAAGATAGGCCAAGGATTTAAGGGGTTTCACAGTCTTCCTGAGGCCCTAGCCATAGTTCCTGCAGGGTTTCTTTGGCGAGTTGATGCGATAACCTCTGAGATTCACTGAGTCACTGAAATCTATGATGTGACACATTAGTGAAGTAGCTATAGAAGATCAACCTGGAATTTCTTGGTTTTCGTTTTCTTTTGTTTGTTTTTTTGAGACAGGGTCTCACTCTGTCACCCAGGCTAGAGTGCAGTGGCACAATTTCGGCTCACTGCAAGACCTCTGTCTTTCAGGTTCAAGCAATTCTTCTGCTTCAGCCTCCCGAGTAGCCGGGATTACAGGCATGCACCACCATGTCCGGCCAGTTTGTTTTTTCAGTCTTCAGTAAAGATGGGGCTTTGCCCCTAGCTGGTCTGGAACTCTTGGCCTCAAGTGATCCACCCACCTTGGCCTCCAAAAGTGCTGGGATTACAGGTGTGAGCCACCACAACTGGCCTCAGGTGGAATTTCTTATAGAGAAGTACTGTGATTCAGGAGTGCTTTGTTTACTAGTAGTACTGCACCCAAATTCTTAATCTACAGTAAATACATATATTGCACAGTCCAAAGGCCATTCTGTCACCCCAATTCCTTGGTTGGAGAACTTGGCTGTCTACCTGCAGCGTGGCACCCAGAGAGTGCACAAGTGGGATAAAGAGCCAAACGGGAGAGACATGCTTTCTGAACCTGGCCTGCTATGCCTCTGGGTTGACCACTGATCCTCCAGTAAGCAGAAACACAAGATGAATGTCCTTAAGCCCAGCAAAGTGCAAGCAAGGGCAGATACTGAGATCACCCCAGCCAAAGCATGGCCACTGGCCCCCAGGCTCTCCAGGCAGCGGTCAGCTCACCCTTCTGAATGAGGAACCCTACACCAGAACACATACCATGGACCTCACTGCCCTCAAAATACCGGGCTCAGTGTGATACCCTGAGAACAACTCAGGCCATTCGCTGGAGTAAGGCCACTTGCTTAGCTACAGAGACACAACAGATGAGACATGTTTGAACGTCTAGACTGTGGGACTAGATTCCTGTGGTTAAATTCTATGTAACAGGAACCAGCCAATTCAGGAAAGATAAGAAGGATGGCAACGCCTTTTGGAAATACAGAGATGGTAAGTGAAAGATAAAGTGAATTCAGATCAGAAAAGTAAGGCACGTTGAGAAAAAGAAGTACATAAACTAGGAAACTGTATTTCCTTCCTACCAGTCTCTGTCCTTCTGCTTCCTGCTAACCATGTGTCACACCACACCAGCAGTCTGCACACTGTTTTCGGTGGTGCTCCCACAGGGGACACAGTGGGGAGGCAAGGGTGGAGAGGAAAGACGGTTTAGGTGGCCTCAGCTCCAGCCTCCCAGCTCCCTGAACACAGAGTACTGAGCCAAAATGACAGCAAAACAACAAAGCTTGGAAAAAAGTGCTTTAGCTGCTGAACCAGACAATAGTGAGCTGTGAAATAGAAACTGTTGAGCCCGCTCCTTACTCAGGGAAAGAGGAGAGAAGGAGGGCAGGAACCCCACAGATAGCAGCACTCTATTCATATCTGAGGGGCTCCTGGGCAAGCATTTCTCCCACAGAGGAGGGTGGTCCACTCACACTGTGACTCCACACGTCTAAAATCAAATGCTTCAGCTCATGGCCAAACTAGCCGGTGTCTGAATTCCTTATTTTTATCAATGGGATCATCAGTCCCAGGTCACTGGTACGGAAGGAGAGGGGCCCCTTCAACATCGCTGTAGCCCACTACCCACACCACTATATATACTCAGGTGCCAAGCTTGTTCTGTTCTGCTCATTCCCAGAGAGGCCACCCTGGTCCAAATCTCCCAACACCTCACATTCACACCCGACTACCACAGGCTCCCTGATTCCGAGCTGCTTTCATTCAGTCTTCCCCCACAAGCCAAGCCCTTCAAAACACCTGACTGCACGAATCTTTCTTCTGGAACCACTTCCTTTCTCCCTCACGTGCCACACTACACTGCACTACGATCTACCTTGATGGCAGCCTGGATGTCTCCCTCATGGCAGTTGTGGGTGTCTGTGATCATCTCACTGTTCATCTCCCTACCAGCTTGAAGCTTCTGAGCTCAGGGCCTAGGTTTTGTTCACAGCTGTGCATGCAATGACTACAACAGTCAGACTAGAACAGTACTTGCCATACACCCCGAGAACCCTCTATAAGGTCTTACATCTTAACACCTTATTGAATTAAATTTTAATTATGAGACCTACTGAAAAAACTCCACAAACTAGCTTCCACCCCTCTCCCCAGCCTCATCTTCTACTCTCCCTTCACACAAGCCAGCCTCCAGAGAGGCTCCCAAATGTTCTTGCCTCTGAACTGATTCCCTGCCCCACCTTCCTGCAGTTCTTCACCTCCTCATCTCCCAGCCCAGTGGGGTCCAGCCTGGGCTGCACATTAAAATTGCCTGGAATGCTTTAAAAAGTCCAGATACAGGCCAGGCACGGTGGCTTATGCCTATAATCCCAGCACTTTGAGAGGCTGGGCGAGGGGGTGTGGGCAGATCACCTGAGGCCAAGAGTTCAAGACCAGCCTGGCCAACATGGTGAAACCTCGTCTCTACAAAAAATGCAAAAATTAGCCGGGTGTGGTGGTGCATGCCTGTAATCCCAGCTACTTGGGATGCTGAGGCAGAAGAATCGCTTGAACTGGGAGGTGGAGGTTGCAGTGAGCTGAGATCGTGCCACTGCACTCCAGCCTCCCAGACCAAATAAATCTGACCGTCCGGGGATAGAATCAGGTATCAATGTTTTCAATATACAGCCAAGATTGAGAACCACCAACTCAGCCCAATCCTACCAAACCCTCAAGGTCTACTATAGGCCCTCCCTTCCTCCATGAAGCCTGAAGCTTTCTGACTCAACTACTATGCCCTTTATCTGAAGAAACTGCTTTTACTACTACAGTCCATATGCATTGATCGTCTCCTCAACTTGACTGTAAAGTCTTCAAGAAGGCCCTACCGCAGTGCCATAGCCTCCATCACAGTGCCTTACACAGAGTTAATCATAAATAAATGGTGACTGAAAGGGGGTGTCCGCAGGTAACAACCTGACTGGCTTGAGGGGTACCTCTTTATTTCCACTGCCCACTTTCCAGTGGTAATGATTAGTGAAACACGCAGAATGCACACACTGATGTGCATTAGACTGCTTCCACTTATTTCCAAACTGACTGAAAACTATAAAACAGGGGATAAGCTAGAAATTTTCCATATATCTATTTAAATTAGCTTCATTCTCCATGACCAAAAGGTATGATAATAACAAAAATGTTTTGCTGCAAAATGACTCAGGAGGTAAAATATAAAAGGCTCTACGTCTCCTGTATTGACAGGAACTGAGGCTAAACATCCTACTGCAGCAGGTACTGTGTTATGACTCAGCAGCGGGCTCTCAAATCTAACCTAAGTGAAAGCCACAATAGCATGGGAGGCAGCCTCCATGCTAATGAACTTGTGCTAAGGAAACAGACATCTTCGGTAGGGTAAAACACAGGTTGGGGCAGAGGGACCTGGACCAAACCTTAAATGTGATCTAAAAGTGCTTAACAACATTGGCCAGGAGAAGCAAGAACAGATAACGAAAGGAGGCAGGAAAAAAAGCTGATTTTTCTCCAGAGCTCCAGATGTCTTTATCGCTGCCTAATGACAATTACACTCAACCAATTAAGATGCCACTATGACAGTTACATTGTCAGTAAGCCTTTGGACCCCAATGTTGATGACTCTCTAATTAGTGTTTGTGCAAAGTACAACTGCAACTAATATACTAGCTGATGTAAGAACACTAAGGAAAAACTGAAGAAGAAAGAAGTCTCTTCCAAATGAGGATATGCCCCAGCCCAGTGAAGCTGTGTGCTCTCCCAGTCTTTCCTACACTTGGCAAGGTTGAGTTTACCTCTAAATAAATAGGTCGGAGACCACAGCTGATTTTTGTTGAAAGAATGGGAATAGAGCCTCTCTCGAGCTCTGTGTGCCAAAGGGATTGCCAATTTAAAACGATTTACCACCAAAGAGCTTTCATTAACTAGTAAGTTTCCAATAAGCAGATTAC